GTTGGGTTGGTTAAATTGAGATGACAGGTATGTTAATTTGCTTAACTGTAACACTCACTTCCCTATATATATGTGAAGTGATAAGGATATCAAAGTATCACGTTGGACACCTTAAATATATACAATTAAACAAAGAAGTAGGGCCCAGAAAAGAACTGAACACCATGGTTGAAGAACTCTCCCTAATTCACAGGAGCCCCAGCAGCAGAAATAGTAGCAGGTGGCACATCTTACCTGGTCTCATGTCAGGATTATCAGCTGAAGCTTCCAGAGAGGCTCTCTTAGAGCAACCAGCAACTATATCTACAAAGAAAGTCCAGCCAAAGTGTTTTGAATGGAAAAGTCCAGATCAGCAGTCTCTTCCTTCTCTCTGTCCCTGGCTTCTCTCCAAGGCATTGTGCAAGTCACAGTGACCGTTTTCAAAGTGTAACGTGGATCATGCCACCCCTTCCTCCACCTCACCTGGTTTATTCCTCAATAGTTTCTCAGAGTTCTTGGAATACAGATAAAGCCCCAAAAGTGATTTACATGGCGACAGGTAGGATGGGGCAGTTCCTGTTTACCTCTCCAGTCTTGTTTCATACTCAGGTAATCTGATAAACTCATTTAAAGCCCACCAGCTTTAAGTGGCTGGATCAGAACTCAAACCAAGGCATGTTTGGCTCCCACATCTTGTTTCTCTTGATCCTGTGTGGTTCAGGACTCAGGCAGCACTCAGCCACTAGTCTGAAGGGCTTTGGTGTCTGCAGAGGAGCTAGACTGGGACAGCTGGGCACCGAGAGCAGGTCAAAGCAGCAGGTGGCAGGAAGGCACAGCTCTGACACAGATGCCCAGGCAGAGATCAAGTTTTAGGAACCACAACAGAGCAGATACTGAGTGTTGGGACCAGGGAAACTCCACGGAAACTCATGGTGGAATAGTACACTAAAACTTATTTCTCCAATGTAACCTAACCAATCCTTCTCTGCCCTTTACTCTCTTCAGCCACTGGTAACCACCATTCTACTCTTAACTTCTATGCATCAACATTTTTAGATGCCACACATAAATGAGATCTTTCTGTCTAGCTTATTTCACTAATTACTTCCAGTCCTATTCATGTTGTTGCAAATGACAGGGTTTCAACTTTTTATGGCTGAATAGTATTTTGTTGTGTATCTACATGTTATGGTTTAGATCTAGAATGTCCATGAAAAGACCCATGAGCTCAGAGGTGAGGCTTTTGGAAGATGATTAGATCACTGGAACGCTATAGCAGGGCCTCATTGGAGGTGGGTCATGGAGTTTGTGGCTCCAAAGGGTGTATCTCTCTCCCCAGTCCCTCAGTTCTTACTCGGCCTCATAGATAACATGATGTGAGCAGTTTTCCTCCTCCAGACTTTTCCACTGTCCCTTTTCTGCCTTGTAGCCTGCTGACCATCATCTGAAAATGTGAGCCAAAATAAAATTCTCCTCCTTTAAGTTGTAGTTGTCAGAGACAAGAAACTGACTAAGGTATTCTACACTACGATTTTTTTAATCCATTCATCTGTTGGCGGGCACATAGGTTGATTCTATATCTTGGCTATGTTGAATAGTGCCGTAGTAAACCTGGGAGTTCATGTGCCTCTTCAGTGTGCCAACTTCATTCACTCCCTTTGGATATGTACCAAGTTCTGTTATTTTATTGTACAGTAGCATGATTATAGTGTATTGTTTATTTGAAACAAGAAAAAAGAAAGGATTTTGAATATTTTCACCACAAGGAAATCACAAATGTTTGAGATGGATATGCTTACCCTGATTTAAACATTATGCAATATACAAGGTGTGATCAAAATATACAGTGAATATATATTTTTTTGTACTGGGGATCGAACTCAGGACCTTGCACTTTTGAGGCAGGCGTGGTGCCACTGAGCTAAATCCCCAGCCCTACAGTGAACGTTTAAATTTAAAAATTTATCACAGTAACAGACACATTGCCATTAAACTTCCTCAGAATTCTCCCCTTTGCTTCAAATACACTTACCTACCATTCTTGCCACTTTCTGAAGCAGTTCTAGAGGTTCTCTTTCATGTCTTTACAGAGTACGATAAAAATACAGTGAGTGCTGCTGCTGAGTGCCTTCCAATGGAAAAGTGGTCTTGTAAAAACATTATCCTGTGCTCTCATCCACCTTATTCACCAATCTGGCACCATTCAATTTCTGGTTCCTTCCCCAAATCAAAATGACCATAAAAGATAAGTGTATAAATGTTTTAAATCAATTCAGGACATCAAGGCAGCCACAACAGTGCAACTAAAGACTCTCACAAGAGAGGACTTCCAGAACTGCTTCAGAAAATGGCAAGAAAAATAGGATAAGTGTGTTCAAAGTAAGGGGGAGTATTTTGAGGGGCATTAAGGGCAATGTGTCTTTTAATGAATAAATTTAAACATTTCCCATATTTTTCAAGCATACCTTCTATACATGTATCAAAACATCACATGGTACCCAATAAATGTGTATAATTTTGTGTCAATTTAAAAAACTCAAAGTCCCAGTCTCCAGAACCAGTGCGCAGTGTTGGTGATAAAGCAACAAGCATTAATGATCTTCAGATAAAGATCAGGGTTATTCCCAAAGCCTGCAAGGTTGGAGCCTGCAGGGAGAAACAGAGAAGGAGCCATGGGGCCAGGAGCAGACAGGACCTCACCACAGTGGTGAGGCCACCCCCAGAGGCTCCAAGCCAGGGATGTCCTCCAGCAGTAGAAGAAATGTAATCCTGACCCCCAGTAATGGAGCTGGGCATGCATCTTCCTATAGAAATATGACCCTACATAGTGTTGGGGTCTACCCTAGTGTTCAAAGTACTACATTACAGTACACCCTGAATCTCTCAGGAAAAAGTCAACTTTTACTGCCTTTTTCTTTTTCCCAGTAAGAATACCTGTCTCTTCAATTCATAGATTCTTATTTTGGATTCAGAGAATGTGGCCCCTATAACTATACTTCACCTCTACTGTGAATTAAACCAGATCTTGTGGAGTGGAAGTGAGATTCTAATTCCTATGCATTTCCTGTGGGAAAATTAGCTCCAAGTTCCAAAGAAACACAGTTTGACATGGTGCTCTTTGTTGATGAAATTATACTTTCTCTTAATCCATAAGAAATGATATTCTAACAAAAACTAGTAATAGTGAGAACTGTGGCTTGACAAGGAACCAGGGTCCTTTCAATAATATGTGCATCAAAGGGAAGGAGCTAGACGCCTTCTACCTGAAAGCTCGTCTCAGCATAGCAAGGTCACAGGGCCATTTTGCCATCATGACATGTGCAAGCCCATCCGGCCAGCACATCTGGTCATCTGGGAGAACCAGAGACATCTCATCTGCACTAGCAGAAGGACCTCTCATGAACCCTGCTCTGGGGCCTGCCTGTTGCTTTGCTTCTGCTTTCTTTTTAAAATGGGGTAATTTCCTTTTGATTAAGTGTGACATTCTTATGTCTCTAGGATTTTGTCTTCAGGCAAACAGCATCCTTCCCTCTCTCCCTCTCCCCTCCCTCTCACTGTGTTACCCACTGCCTTAGCTTTTGCATTTTGCACCCACACAGCACCCCCAAACCATGGGTAACCAGAGCCACAAGGACCTCAATGCCTGTTTTCTGTCCCAGATTCTGCTGGTTTCTTGATGTCATTTTTCTTAGCTTTGTGTCACTTTTTGCATAAATGTTATCAAAACAAGAATATAGAAACAAAACGTTAAAATCTATAAATCGTTCTGTCCTTTGGAACATCTGTTTTCTTTTTCTGCTTCCTTTGGCCCTGTGCAGATGCAAACATGCCTCACTTTTGATCACAGACTGGTCCCCCTGGCCTGCTGTCACTCACTGACAGAGTACCAGGCTCAAGGCTGCAGCCCGGCACACAGTTCGACCCGCTTCCCCCAAAAAGAGTTCAGGTGGCAGAGTTTGTAATCAGCAGGGACATTATATTTTCCTCACCTCTAATGAGGATAATTAAAAGAGATCATTTCTCAGTGGGTCGTATTCCCTGTCCATGAATTAAGCAAGTTAGGTAGTTAGTTCGCTGTTTCCCTGCTTTTTAAGGACCTGAGAAACAGAATATTTCTACCCAGCGTATGATGGAAATGGATTTTGATTAACATTTCCACACTGAATTCTTAGCCCAAAGAGCCACAAAGTAAAAACCCTTATTTCTAGCATACTTGGGTCCTAATTTTCAACCTTAGTTGTGTACACACTAGTTATACACACATTCGTGGCAGTTCTTAAGTGAAGAAAACATGTAAAATGCTTTTATGATGTTTTACTTGAGGATCTCTGAGAATTTTCCTGTCAAGAATATACATCAGTGGTAGGCATTTTAATGAACTTTATAGTCAACCTTTTTTCTGTTTTATAAGTGAGAAAATGTGTTTCTGCATGGGAGGAAAAATACATGTTCAGCTTACTTTGGCCAGCTCATTTTTAAGATACTGACAAGTACAGAAGCTCTTACAGAAAAATAAATATTTCCCACCACATAGTTCCTGGTTTTAAGCATTTTTTCCCTTTCTAAACTATACTAAGTCTTCCACAGAAATTCTTTCTTTCATAGCAATTTCTCTTCTACAGAGAAAGAAATATGAAAAAGATGAGACAGCAAAGTACTAAGTGGTTTTGAAAGCTTTGTTCTCGCCTCCACCCAGATTCAACCCTGGGGGGGGCTGATGTCCAGGGCCTGGCACAGAGGGAAAAGCGCCTCCTGCCTATGTCCCCTCTGACACTCGATTTGGAAGTCAAGGTCAAAATTTTTCATTCATTTGAATTCCAGTTGAAATGGTAGACAATCTCCATATTTCTTTGAACTAAATACTTGACTTTCACAAAGCGGGATGAGCAACATCACCGTAGCCTTCCCAATTCTATACTGGAGAAACAATGCCAACGTCACAGCCAATCTAATCAGGGAGCACAGCTAGAGGGCACCAGGCTACCAGGTGGTCATTAGAGGTAAGAGACATTTAAGCCATTTTAATTAACTCTTGAGTTTATTTAAAGCCTTGGCTCTATGGAAAGATTTTCCCCACCTTATTAACACTTGTTTTATTTTTATTATTGCAAGATTCAGAGTCACCTAGACTTATTCATTATGAATTCATTCATTATTTTAGGCAAGAAATATTACTTATTCTTTGCTAAGCAGAGACCCAGGCACTGGCAATAGAGTATAAAATAACCATGATGTCTGTGCTTTCATGAAGCTTACATTTTAGTGGGAAGCTGGTTACAAACATGAGGTAAATTATACAGAAAATGTTAGGTAGTAGTGAGGGCTATGTTAAAATTTAAAATAGGTTCTATGGTTGTGAGTAACTGGACGGTCAGTAAGGCCTTTCTGAGGAAAGACAGTGACATGCAGATATAAATGGGAAGAATGAACACAATTTCTGTCAACAGGAACAGCACATTAAACAATAAAGACCAACATCTAAAGGCTTAATATTCAGACAATGTAGTGGAAAATTCACACTCAATAGCCAGACTTGGGTATTTAAACCCCAGTTCTACCATCAGGATTTAAGTTACCAGGAACAAGTTCCCCAACTTCTATAAGGGTTTTGTAATCATTTTCTCCCCATTGGTATATTAGGGATAATAATAGTTCATAATTCACAGAGATGATTAAAGGTTTGGAGAAGTTAGAATATGTTAGATAAGTGTCTGATACAAAGCAAGTGCTACTTAGGAGACAGTTATTATTAAAATTAATATTGCTGAGTATAAACACTCATATTCACAGATGATTTAGTCACAATAACCAAAAAGATAGAAACATTCTAAATGTCAATCAATGGATGAATAGATAAAGAAATACCATGGAATATTACTCTGCCTTTAAGAAGGAAAATCCTGCACATGCCACAGCATGGATGAACCTTACTGACACTATGCTGTTTGAAATAAGCCAGTTTTAAAAAGACAAATACTGTATGATTCTACTTATATGAGGTGTGCACAGTAATCAAAACTCATAGAAACAGAGAGTAGAATGCTGTTTGCTAGGGGCTAGAGAAGGGGGAACGGAGGGTTAATAAGTAAAAAGTTTTAGTTATGTAAGATGAGTCTTAGGTATTCATAGCATATCATTGTAAATGTACTTAATACTACTGAATGCACACTTAAAATGGTTAGGATATTAAATTTTATGTGTATTTGAGCATTTTGTTTTTTTGAAAGTGCTAAGGATAAAGTGACATGAGATAAGGATCAGAGGTGAACCAGAGCATCCCCTACACAGTAAGAAATGTTACTGGGGCATGTGAGGCTGCATACCCCAAATCTTTCCATTCACATTTGAGTCTGTATAATGGGCGCCCTGGAGCTGTTCAGTTCACAGCCCACCTGCATAGCCATGGTTATCCTGGATGTAATTCTTGTGCAAGGCAACTTTTCCCTCCCACACTTCTTTGATGTGTTACTCCAGTTTCTCACTGCAAGCAACAGAAACTAGCAGGAGAGAAGTTTATTTAAGGGCTGCTAGATAAGTTTGTGTGCAAGACTCAAGGCCAAACTTCCAGGAAACTGTCACTACTGTGTCATGGCACGGGCCAGCTGAGGAAACTAAGCTACCGATGTCACCAAGTGTTAAATGCTACCATGTAGGACCCAAATGAAGCACTGGTTGCTCTGGCCATCAGCACCAAAGTCATGTGTGAGGACACATTGCCACCCACAAAAGCTGCCTGCTAGTTGCCACTTAAACATGCAAAGATAAGTTCCAGGTGGCATTTCCTGTTTCAATTTTCCAGTATATATGGAAATTTCACAAAGGTGAATGTGACTGATAGTGTTAAGTTTACCCGCATGAACCCTAGCTGATAAACACATGGGTAGAATAAAGTTTTCTGGATTCATATCTTGGGGGAATAGAATTCATAAATCCAGAAATTTTTAAAAAGCAAGATCAAAATTGCAGAGCAGCCAGAACCTTGACAAAAGCCCACTCCCCTCCAACATACAGTAGTCCCTCTGTATCCATGGGGAAAACACCCTGAGACTCCTAGTGGATGTTGAAACCACAGAAAGTACCAAAACCCTATGTTTTCCTATATATCTATACCTGCGATGAGGTTTAATTTATAAATTAGGTACCATAAGAGATTAACAATAATAAAATATCACAATTATAACAATATACTGTAATAAAATTGAATGTAGCCTCTCAAAACATACAGTGTTCATCGCTTCTCGGCCTTTTGGCTAAGATTAAGTGTAGTACAGTGTTCAATCTTCTGATGATGTGAGATGAAGTGAAGTGATTGACTAGGCATAGGGACACAGCGTTTAGGCCACTTTGTGTCACTTCAACACAAGCACTCTGATACTGCAGTAGTCCATCTGATAACCAGACAGCTCCTCCTAACCAACCAAGCAGTGGGTAGCATAGACAGATTCATCCATTAGGTGTGTTGGAGTGAGATGATGTGACATTTTATTATACTGCTGAGAATGATGTGCAATTTGAAACTTAAGGATTATTTCTTTCTGCAATTTTTAAATGAGTATTTTCAGCGGTCACTTGGCTAAAGTAACTGAAACCATGAATAGTAAAACCTTGGACATACATACACTTCTACAAGTAAACCTAACAACTATGACCACATTTAGAAAAATGACAAAAAGCTTTCACCACTGTCTTCAATGAAAAACTTGAGATAAAAATATCAACAATCCTTAAATAAATCTATAAATTCATGGAAATATGATCTAATGGGTTCAAATTTAGACAGGTTCAGTTTGAAAGCTAAAGGGAAATTCATACCCAGAGTGCAGGAGTTGATCTGGTTTGGACACAAGGGTTGACAAGTCACTTGCATGTTAGATTTAGCGTTACTTGTGCAAGTCAAGGATTCAACCCTGGATGACACTGAAGACAGTGTAAAAGAAAAGGAGCCAAAAACAAATAGATGAGGAGCCACCAAAAATAAGAAGAACCAGAACAGTGATATCTATAGAGGAGAGTTTCCAAGAGCATCACAGGGGCAGAACACCAAGATGGAGAAGAAAAGCGTCTCGAATTTGGCAGACAGGTCACGGGCCATGTTCAGAACATAGCTTCAGCTGAATCATGAGAGTGGCAGCAAAATTCAGAAAACAGCTGTGCAGATCCAGGTCGGTAAGATAGGAGGCAGCAAGTCTATGCAACCATGGCCTGAAGTTCATCTCTAAAGAAAGGAGGAGAGGGCATCTTAGTCTGTTCTTCGTTGCTAATACACAATGCCATAGATTGGGTAAGCTGTGTCGAGAAGGAGCTTACTTTGTCTCATGGGTCTGGCCCATGGCTGAGGGGCTGCATCTGGTGATGACCTTGTTGGCAGAGTCTTGATGCTGCACAAGGCATCACACGGCCGGAACTGTGAAACCTACCCAAACTGGCTTTTAGAGCAGACTCACTCTGGAGATAACCCGCAAACCCATTAATCTGTTCATTACATGACTGAGTTCATCCATCCATGAAGGCAGAGCCCTAATCACTAATCACCTATTAAAAGTCCCATCTCTTAATATCTCATACCAGAGCTTAAATTTCAACATGAGTTTCAGCTGTCAACCATAACAGTGTGTGTGTGCATGCGTGCGCGTGCATAAGCTCTGGTAAAACAAGACAACTGATGTCCAGCCCCAACATGTGCACACACTTGGAGAGCAACCCACCGTGAGTCCCACATGAAAGTTTACCACTGAGGTTCTCAGTTCATCTATATGCTTAGTTTTCCATTAATCTTTCTGCAAAGTCTTCATTGGGTTTACCTGGGCATGAAAATTATAAAACCAGTTTCAATGAAGAGTTTTGTAAATGGGTACTTAAGCCCAGATGACAGGGCAAGCAATGCAAACAAATGAAAATAAATTTGCATCAGTCATTATGGATGTTTTTGTTCTGTTTTTCCGGGATTAGTTACAAGCAATTTTCTATGATTCTGAAAAAACAGTTACCCTGTGGCAGAGAACAACTTTTTTTACTCACATATTATGTGTCCAATTAAGTATTCCAAGTATTCTTGATTGGACACGTGCACCTCTTCTGTTTTCTACGAGCAAGGAGAAGAGGCCATGTGGATTGAATTGTTGATATATATTTAACAATGCCAACAAAACCAGCAATACCTTGATACGACCAGCTGCCAATCCTCGTTTAATTCTTACAGCTACTATAGCCCCCAGGGTTGGCTGTCTTAAGATGGATATAGAAAGATTTCCCTTGCTAAAAAATTCTTTAAAGCTCTGCAACGTTAAAACTTTTATTAACATAAAAAGAGAGCTTTTAAGCATCCAGACAGACAACAAAGTGGTCAACAATGTTGATCTTCTGCACTAAATGCTATCACATATAGAATGATGAAATATGTTTGCAGCATCAATACCAACAGTGAGTATGAAATGTGAGCAGACACAGGACAGGGCAGCCTGGTGCACGCATAGCTAGACACCACCAACCACTTGAACAAGTGGCACATCCCAAGGGCTGAGTCAGACCCGGCTGTACCTCCTGAGTGCTTATTTTCCTTAGTTCACCTTAGAGAAGTGATTGAAGATGTGGGGCAACATACTGAATTTCTAAGCCTCTGCATCCGCATCTGGACACATAGACAATCAGGTACACGTCATAAGTTGTTATAAGGGTTAAAATCAATGACACAGACCCTAGATTTCTTCAATGCTTTGCACTAATAATGGTGGTGTTGTTATTCTCTTCTGTGTGTGTTCCATTCGCTGAAGTTCACAGTTGCAGGCTGGATTCCAGCTGACTCCGGCATCAGTCCAGTATGTGACTTCCTACCCTGTGCTCTTCCTGTTCTCCGTTCCAATGCATCTAATAGGAGTTCTAAGCTCCTGGGAATCTACTGACATATAGGCTTCTCTTCCAGAAGGGAACAATTTCAAGTTCAAGTCATTTAGGACTGGACTTAAGTAGTAGTTTGCTGAGCATCTCTTGTTCCCTTCATATTCTTCCTTAAACAATAAATGTGTTAGTCAGTGTCCTCCAGAGAAACAGAACCAATAGGATAGGGGTGGGTAGATAGATAGATGTAAGGAATTGGTTCCTGCAATTATGAAGGCTGGCAAGTCCCAAGATCAGCAGATGAGCTGGCAAGCTGGAGACCCAGGAGAGCTGATGGTTTAGTTCCAGGCTGAGTATGAAGACCTCAGAACCAAGAATGCAGATAATTCTGGCAAGTTCAAGACCCAGGAACAGCAGGCGTTTCAGGGTCCCTGAAGGGAAAACCCAGATATCCTAGTTTGAAGTCATTAGACAAGAATGTTTCTCTTCTTTGGGAGGATTGGGGGGTAGGGTGTCAGCTATTTTTGTTTTATTCATGTCTTCCATGGATTGGACAAGGCTTACCCAAGGTAGGGAGGAAAATCTGCTTTACTCATCTACTGATTCAAAAAATTCATGTCATCTAAAAACACCTTCACAGAAACACAGAAAATATCTGGGAGCCTTATGGCCCAGTCAAGTTGACACTTAGGTTTAACCATCACCATAAGCACAAAGTCCCCAGGCTCAAGGCCAAGCTAACCAGTAAATTTCCACTGGTTCAGAGTATAAGTGACCAACTTCTAGTGAAACAGACCAGAGAAATCCTCTGCTGTGAACCTCTGGGAAAGGACATTTCTCCTCTCCCCTCCCCTCCCCTCTTCTCTTCTTCCACATCCTCAGAAGCCTGGAAGGGCTGTCATTCTCTGTCTCTACAGATGCCAGTGTAAGGCAGGGTGGGGAAGGGAGTAAGGAGAATCCCAAAGAAACAGTGTAGCCCCGAATCAAGCCAAGTGTAAGGTGTGAGAACTTCAGGATATTCTGATACCTGGACACACACACCCATCATCTTTTCTGTGCAAACCAATTTGTTTGGGTTTTCTGTAACTTGTAACATGAAGTATATCCGGCCTGCTGTGACAACAAGACCACACTTCTCAATAACTTACCCCTCGCTTCTGAATGCTGCTCCCTATAAAACATTCGGTATTTGAGACACTGTCTGAGCTCAGTGATATTCTTGGGGCTTGGTGGTATCACTCAAATATCACCTCTGACTAGTTTTACCCTTGGTCAATGAGTTAGGAGAGTCCCTCCTCCCTGCCCTCCAAATCCCAAGGAGTCAGGAGAGCCATTCCAGAGTGAATTGACCTTTGGAACAGACCTCTGGGTGCTGAGGTTGGGCAGCTGGTCACCTCTGGGGCTCAGCCTCTCACCTTTTCCATGTCCCACCTTTTTTTATTGTCACAATAGTTAGAATTATTGAATTGGTAATATTATGAGATTAACGAATGAATGAATAGAGAGTATTTGTTGACAAGTATAATTAATATCACATTGAAACAATAATAGTGTGTGTTAGGTCACATCAATACCTTATTCTATTCCAAGATTCTGTCCTCAATAGTGAAATTAGGGACAGTTGGTGAAAGAGTACAGAGCTTGCCTTCCATGTGGTTAATTCCAAAAGAAATACTAGCATCACTGCACGAGGTAATGAGTTCTTATTATCATATTGACTGTAGAGCCATGTTCTGTGAATTTATTTATATAACTTTCCTCAATCTATGTGTATTTTCACTAAACAAAGATTCAGGCTTGGTCATCAGTAGAAAAGTAGATCATGATGCTTTGCTTTGTACTGAGCCCCCAGTCTTGATACTAAGTTTAATACAAAAATTTCTCTTTCAATTAATCATAACCCTGCTCCATTTACCATCCGTGGCTGTGGTTTGTTGTAGCCCACATTTCTGAATCTGGTTGCTGCACAGGTACAGTGTCTCTTAGAGTTTGAGGGCCGGTACTGCAGTTTACACTGTCAACCTGGTCTTGGAGAAGTGGGTCTCCTTGAGCTGCTCCCTGATTTTAAACTGTGCTGAGCCAGATTCGAGGTTCTGCTCGAAAGAATGAGAAAGAGATGAGAGGAAGGGATGGAGCATGAAGGGTTAAAACAGCCCTCCCAGGCCTGCAGTAGTGATGTCAGTGGCCACTGCAGGTACAGCCAGAACTGCAGTCATGCTCTGTGTGGGAGGCACTGCTGCCTTTGAGAAATGTCTCTGCTTTGATCAGAGTTTAAAGGCCAAAGTGGCAGCCTATGTTTGGCAGCTGGCCCATCATAGCATGAGTCCTGGGGTTGAAATGGGGAAATCAAAGATTCAGCTCTGGCTGCATGATTTTGGGAAAATCACTTTAAACTCCAATTTTTGGATCTTCAAAACTGGGGAAAGAATGCTCATTCCTGAGGAACCAAGCACCAAAGATTTGAGATAAGAACTGAATGAGACCATGCACAGGCAAGACTCACATATATAATATGCCTGAACACGAATGAGCCCAGTTTAAGCCACTGTCTGTGGGTGGGGCTGGGGTGGGGGTGGACAAATGAACTTTCCAACCTGGTCCTATCCCTTCTGGTCAGACCAACTAACTCAACTATTATCCAGCTCCACTTGTAAACATTACAGGTACCTACCCTTAATAATACACCATTAATTCTAACAGACCAACCGCATTTGTTTCTTCCATACTACATACCAAGCATCATACAAAATGCTTCACATATTCTATCCCATTAATCTTTATAACAACCCTGTAAAAATCACATTGATCTCAGGTTTACCTACGACAACATGTAGGCTCAGATTGCTTAAATGGCCTGGCTTTGGTTGCAAGTGGCAGAGCTGAGATTTGAACTCAAGTATTTTGAGACCAGAGCCCACACTTTAAAACATAGAAATATATTTATAAAAAATTGGTTGAGAACGACAGAACGCACAATAATGTTGAAAGAATCATATATGGTTGACTAAACTATTAGCTTTACCATAAATATGTATAAAAAATACCCTATGGTTCTAGTGTTAATTCTATTTGCTCATCTCTAAGAAATTGTTGATATTTTCGGCCAGGCGTGGCTTAGGGTATGTATCTGCTGTGGTTTGAATTTGTTCACCAAAAGTTGATGTATTGGAAACTTAATCCTCAAAGTCACGTGTTAACAGTATTTGGAGGTGGGGCCTTTGATTAGGGTTAGATGAGCTCCTGAGGGTGGGGTGCCTGTGTGGGCATCAGTGGCTTCATATGAAGAGGAAGAGAGGACTAAGTGAACGAGCTAGGTCTGACTATCTCACTGTGATGCTCTCTGCCATGCTATAGTGCAGCAGGAAGGCCTCATCAGACATGGGGTAGATGCTGCTGCTGTGCTCATGGATATCCCAGCCCGTGGGATCAAGAACAAAGTCAACTTCTAATCTGTATAAATTACCCACTTGTCAGTATTTCATTACAATCGTATATTATTAAGTATATTCTCAAGCTAACAGAGGCGTGCCAGTTATTCATTCCACCAGTGTCTAATTAGCAGATAAGAACAGTGGGCTCCAGGGAGGTGGGGACAGGTGACCAAGGATCGTAGAGCTCCAGGAGCAGCTGAGCCCAGTGGTGCTCCCCAGCCCCTCTGCCTCAATGCCAGCAGAGCGAGCATCCCACCTGGATTTGCTGCCCTCCATTCTCTCTCCAGCCTTATCAACCTTGGCCCACACCCCTCAGCCTTTCCCTAAAAGATCCCAACCTCCTCAGATGCACACATACAGTCTGCAGTCCTGCTCAGTCCACAGAGCTTTGAGACTGGGAGAAGTGGGCATGCGACTAAGAAGCCTACAGCTCTTCACAGCATAGCATCTATGTGAAGAAACTGGAATTTGCCGAAGGTCGTGGGAAGCAATCAACATGTAACCTGTTAGGATTTTTACCTAAAAGTGAGTAAGTTTGCCTTCAGCGTGCTCTTTTGGTGGGTCATGTTGGGATCCAGTGACATTTCCATTGCTCAGAGCATCGCCAGGACTCTTCAAGATGGCAACAGCAGGGGAGATCTGGCTCTTTTCTACCTTATTTTATCTTTTATTTTTCTGGTGCTGGGGATGGAACCCAAGGCTTCATGCCTGCTGAGCACATATTCTATCACTGAGCTATATCCCCAGCCACTGAAAGGTTTTGAGTCAAAGGCACCTAAATTAAATCTTAGTTCAGAAACATGCCAGCTAGCTGTGTGACTTTGGGCAAGTTTTTCCCCTTTCTGACCCTCAGTTTCTTCAACTACATAATGGAAATAGTGATACTTAATTTACATAATAGTGGAAGGAGTGAATGAGATAATGAAAATGAAAGTTCCTATCCTGGCATATAACAGACTCAAAAACGTTTCCTGTCTTCTTCCTTGGGGATTCCTCATCAGAAATCAAAGCATTAGTTTGACTAACTTGGCAGTGACAAATCATTGTCTTTGGAAGATGAATTATACTTTTGAAAACAGCCAAAACCTACTGGATTCAAGTGTGAAAAATAAGTCAAGTGATCAAGTGGACAAGATAGGACACAGCTAAGTGTGTTAAGGAGGATGATTTTCTGAAAAGATCAGAGACACCCACCATGTCCCGAGGGCCACCCTGGGTGGCGGATACAACAGCACCCTGACCAGGCCCTTGTCCTGGGCATCTCACAGGTCAGCGTGAGCTGCAACCACATCATGACTGGAGTAGATACATGCACAGGTGTCCAAGATGAGTGATTTTCAAAGCAAGGTATGGAAAGTTTGTTTGAAAATAATTTCTGCTGTACTATAAGCTAACCAATAAACATCCAGCCCTTCAACATAAAACATACCAAAGAATAATGAGAAAATTCTTCCAAATAATTAGCTGTTCTTCACTGATCTGTTTTATCAAATTTAAAAATAAGCAATTAATAAGTTATGCAAATTTCCTAATTATTCAAGCCTTTTTCAAGCCCTGTGTTTCAAACTAAGAAAGTTAAGTTTGTGATTTTTCCCTGCTAGAATTTCTAATCAAGGGATCAGTTATTACTTTAAGTAACATGTCGCTCTTGTGATGCAAAGACAAAGCCTTACACTGTGAGCTTTCTTCTAATAGCCCCTCAAAGTAGGAAGTTCAGAGTGCTTCTGTTTTGCCTCCATTTTATCAGTTGTTAAATAGACACATCAGAATTACCTACTCAAGCCTGTGATGAGAATTAAATGAGTTGACATAAAGATGTTCTCCCATCTGAGATGCAGTCATGTCCTGATAATTCCACTATAAGCTGACAATATTATAATCGTGTTATGGTTTAGATCTGAAATGACTCTCACAGACCACACACTATAGGCTTGGTGCCCAACATGTGGCATATTGGGAGCTCACAGGAGGTAAGGACTTGAGGAAGGAAGTTAGGCCACTTGAAGGGGCCATGGGGACCCTGACCCTTCGTCTCTCTGTTTTCTGTTTGGCATGAAGTTAGCTTTTCTCCACCACATGGTTTCACCAGTGTTCTGTCTCACCACAGGTACAAAAGCAACCAAGCCATCAACCATAAATTGAAACCTCTGATACAATGAACCAAAACAAACTTTTCCTCCTTTTAAGTTGATTATCTCAGGTATTTTGTCATGGTAAATGTATTGAATACAACTAACCTATGGACAATGCTAGCTTAATCACCTGCCTTAAACTTGCTCAGAATTCTTTTCTTTGGACTTAGAGTACGTGAATTTAATTAATATTACATCAGCTTCTTGAGAACATTACAATTGCACACACTGTATCAAAGCATATATTAATACAATTTCAATAATAAGAAGAGTGAATATGAGATGAATTGTTTCACTTAAAATGGCCACAAATTTAAATGGTTTTTTAAAATTAATTTTATTGGTACATTTTAGGTATACAATATAATGACATTCATCATTGGAAATTTGCACCTTTACATAATCACTCTTGGTT